TACGTACGTACGTAGTACGTACGTACGTACGTACGTACGTAGTACGTACGTACGTACGTACGTACGTAGTACGTACGTACGTACGTACAGAGAGAGAGAGAGAGAGAGAGAGAGAGAGAGAGAGAGATTCAACCACAGCATAAATACCCCACCACTTATAATACCATTAGCATAGAGAGCGTCTTGCATTGCCCACCTTTTGATGGACATATTCAGAAACAAGTCTCTTTGTTGTGACAAAAGAAATTTGTATGCCTATAAATAGATTCATAGCAGATTCATGGCACTCTCTCTCTCTATTAACTGTTTCAATTTCGCATTGCCATGAGAGAGAGTAATGACTCCACAGCCACATTCTTAACCAATCCCCCACCTTGGGTCGACAAGCCCAAAATTTGTTTCAAATTGCGAAAAATGTGATGCATCTTCACCTAGGTCCTGCTTCAATAATCCCATATCTTCTGATAAATACTAGAAAAAAAAAAAAATTCACATAATCAAGAGCTTGCTTGCAATGTTGGTGATATTACAAAAGCTGTACAGTACAAATCATTGGGCATGTTTCCTCAAATTTCGGGATGAGATGAATTCTTCAATTCTTGCCTTAAGTTCTAAATCAGGAATAAGCATGTCTTGAGTGAGATGTGATCGATTGAATGGATCAGTCTGCAATCATAGCCAAGACATGTTAGCCATTACAATAAACAAGTTCAAATATTATTAAATGGTTGGTTTTCCGGCCTTTTTCTTCATTTTGACAGAGCAACTACACTAAATAAATAGTTGGCTTCATAAACTAACTTGATCATGTTTCATGATTCTCTATCTTTTGGTGGACAGAGAAACTGAAACTGTAAGTAAGGGGTTGATTTCATATATTAACAAGCATATCAAGAAGATGGAGGTCAAGAAAGAACTACATTATCGCTGAGCAAGTGTCTCTGTATTATTGGTCTGTCCACTGTTATCCTCGATGAAGGTAGAATTACAGGATCTCTCATTAATGTGTACTGCATATACAACAAAAGTAAGCACATCAGTTTTCATGGCCAGAGTATATAGTTTTACTCATCAATAGTAGAAAATTGAAAGAATATATCTCAACTCGGTCTTTGGTGGGCAGAAATATAACAAGTGAAACAATGGACTTAGAGAGAAGCCCATCGAATGGGAAGACTAGATATAGAGAGTGTAGTAAATTAAGAGAAAGGGACATTTGTGTGAGAAAGAGAGATTAGAAGAAGCGTTGAAAGAATGACCCGTGGGTGAGTGGGTGTGCGTGTGCCTATATCCGAGCCTTATCCCAACTATTTAGAGTCAAGAACACCAATCATGTTCCGCCATTCCACATTAGATCATGATTCATGAAACAGACGTAGTAAAAGTTTTACACAGGCTGCCCACCTAACACAACCCTCCTTTCTCTGGGCTTGGGACTGGTATAACAGGCTTGGAACCGGCCATGGTGGAGTGAATTTCTATAGTACTTCCACTCATATCACTATCCAAAGTCCATCTAACGGTTATGATTATCTAACAATATTTGAATTTTAATATTTATTTCACAAATCCAATTTATCTGAACCTTGGGGCATGTGTACATTTAACCATCTCGCACAAAAATAAAATATTAAAAAAATAATTATCAAGAACTAGAATGATAAAAATACCCCCGAAATATTTATAGGGGTAATTTGGTAATTTTATTATCTAAATACTTTTTTATATTTAGTTAGATGTGTTTCGTTGAGGCACACACACCCACAAAGTTTGAGGTTAATCTGAATTGTAAAGAAATATTAAAATTCAAATACTATCAAACAATAATGACCGTTTAATGGACTTTAGACGGTGATGCGCCATAAATAAATGCAATATTGTATGAGTTCACTTATGAGATTTTTCCTTATATTTGAGTGAAGGAGAGAGAGCTTAATGAGAAACAATTAATAATTCAAGCATCTTTTTTCTTTGATGTCCAATTGTGAGAAATTCAATGGAATTCTTGATTGGACGAGGAATCCCATTTTTTGATTCAGTATGGATAAAGGATCTTCCTATGTTTCAGGTTCTTTTGAACAAAACCAAACAAACAAAAACCTGAATTGGATCGAGAAATTCATCAGGTATGTCTCCAAGTGCAGCCTCTGCATCCATTGCCTCAGAAGCTGCAGCTTTCGCTTTTGCACCGAGCTCAATAAATTCCTGAATTACCCTCCCATCTTCTCCTATTTTGCAAAGAACAACCACAGCAGCAGCAAATATCTGGAAGCAAACATCAGAAGATCATTGTCCAAATGATTTACTCATTCATATTTCTCTTAAATATATATCGCTTATGATATGTTTCACAAAAATATACTAGTAAATAATAAATAAAGCTGAACTTTGATGATTCCAAAGTCAGATGGATTTTGAACGTAACGGATTCATTTTTTATTGGGAAACCCCAGAATATGGACAATGAGAAAATTTTTGGTTGAAATTCAATAGCGAAGTTATCTTCATATTGGAAATTGCCAAACATCTAGCTGCTTACTTCAGATATTAGGTAAGTGCTTACTTTTGAAATTAGGAAGACAATCCCCAGAATTTTGTCGAATGTTTTATGGCATTTGAGCCAGTTTAGGCCAAAACTCATTAAATTCTAAAGTCAAAAAGTTTAAAATCCAAATTAAATGGCTGATGAGGAGGGGCAAAGCATATGGCTCTTTGGACCAATGGGTATCATAAGCAAAAAGGTCAAAGAACATACCTGCTCATTTTTTTCTTTTTCTTTTTTTTGGGTTAAACATACCTGTTCATTGTATGATCGACCATCCTTGGAGATGGCAGTTGGGAAAACATTTTGCTTGTCTCCACGTGCAATATGAACATAAATATCTACAATCTTCAAGCCATTTTATATATCGACTCAGCTATCTTGCAAATTTCTTGGTGAATAAACAAATCAACAAAATGCTAACATATAGCATTATACACATTAATTTAAAGGCTGGGAAAGTGACACTAACTTGCTTTAGCAGTTTCTTGGGCCGAAACTCATATTTTTCAGGGTCTTTGAGATGCAGAGATCTTCTTTGGGGCCCAACAAGTTGTAGCAAGAAATAGTTTAGCATATTTGCCACCCTTTCTACCTGTGAGAAAGCATCCCAATTGTCTCTCACAAAAGAAAGCATAGTTGAATTAAAAGCACGAATGATACAGTCAGCAACGTGATCTTTACATCTTGACAGAATGGAATTTCAGCATCTCTTTCATGTTTACTAAAAAGCAAGAAAAACATAAACAAAATTACCATTTCAGGAAGAAGAAAGGGAGCAGTAATCTGTTCCGATGTAAAAGCAAGCATCCCGACATCTTCGTTTGCCAATTTCATGTCAATTCGGATAATCTAGCAAATCCAGCAAACACATATGTAGTAGATAAGAGCCTTCCGAATCCACAGAGAAATTTAAACAATATTTGCAAGCGAAGCACTTTTAATTCTTTAAATGCATGAAGGTGTTTCCCTCTCTAAAAACCCCAAGGACTCCCAAACAATCCATAAAGAAAAAAAAGGAAGAAACACTTCCAAATAGTTTCAAGCAAAATTTCCAATACCCACATTCTCTTGGGAATGAAACAGGCGCATTCTCTCCTGCCTTTCTGGTGCTGGTCTCTTTTCCCACTCCTCAGTATTAGCCATTTCTGATTCCAACTCTTTTAGTTCCAGAATTTTATTGAGACTTTCATCAAGAAGATATATGCTATCATTAATGAGAAAATTCAAGAAGTTCAAGTAAACTCCCTTCTCTTCTTCTTTAGCAATCTGCCAACAATAAATGGAAGAGAAGAGTATAAGCTATAAAGACAAAGCCATGGATTCACTTAGAGTATAGAAGGCTTCAGAACAAAAGTAAAACACGACGCTTTTGAGACCATTTATTTACCTTCCTCCATGCATTACGGTGGCTAGGAACCTGCCAAAGATACTCGAGAAGTTCGGCAATATTATGCCGAATGTTGAACTTATCATAGAACTGTTTAACAGAAAAAAAAAGCCCAAAAAAAAATAAAAAAAGAAAGATAATTATAATCAATGGTTTAATACAAGCAAGATTTGGATATAAAACAAAAATCACAATAAATTGACAGTTTTTGATTTCAAAGCAGATGAAAATAAGGAATTCCTAGTTCAATGATGAAAACGAGCAACACATTTATTTCTGCCAATTTCATGAAAGCAAGCATCCCAACATCTTCGTTTGCCAATTTCATGTCATCCCGACATCTTCGTTTGCCAGTTTCTTAAATAGCCACTAGTTTCAACACAATAAGCATTTCCATGATACAGTTTCTATAGCTATAGTCCTTCCCTTTTGTTTGGTCTATAGTCATTGATTCAGAGCAGAAGCCGAATCATTGAGATGAAGAGCTTCGTACTGCAGGGTCACAACACATCAACCAAACTATAGCTATCCACCAGGTTCTTTAATAAGATTAAGCATTTAATTTTTCCTCAATTTTGCTTTCATGCAAGTAAAATTTGACTCAACTGGCAAAAGGTCATGTTGAAGCAGGCATTGATGAAAACATTGATCTAGTATAAGACCGAGGAGTATGAAACCAGCTACTAAACGGGCAAAAGTCCATAAGATTAGCTAAAAGCATTAACAAAATGTTATTCAAACTTGTTTGGTTCAAGGGCTATTGGAAAGCGAACATGAATGATGAAAAATTGCCATAAAACCAACAACAGCAGCTACCAAACTTCTACATGTGCATGTAACCTAGTCTTCAGCATGCATAACGGGAATGCCCTTGCCTTTTTGGGGCGGTCAATCAAGAGTAGAGTTTCATGTAGAAAACAATCATATGTTCATTTATAGCTACTACCTGTGTGTGAGCACCGGTGAACTCAATGTCCACATAAAGCTTCAGAAGATTGTAAACTAAATATTCTAGAGCTAGCTGATGGCCTTCAAAAAGTGAAGCTGTAGCAGAAGAACCACTGCAAGGAGAACATATATGGCATCAAAAATATGTTAAGAAAGCCATTTCATCGACATAAAAGAAAAACAATTTTCTTCCCAAACGTACATTGTCCAATAGTAAATGTATATTAAAGTTCAACGGACAATGCAAAACTAGAGTCCCTTAAGGACATCACTGTCCCATGAAATGATGGACGGTGATGGAGAGAGTGTACCCATAAGAACAACACATGACCCTATAGTGGGTCCCACTCCCTCCAGCATCATCCATCCATTCATGGCCCCAATGCATTATGGTTTTCCCGGAGTCCACTGGTATCTAGCACACTTCCCTCCTATATTCATGATATTGCTTCAGTGAAGTATAACATTTCAACGAATAAGTGAAACAAAACATGCTGACTCGCAGCCAAGATAAAGAAATCAAATGACCAACCTTTTATCCGGCATCCAGCAATTCAAGACCTCCACCATTTTTGCCCTTAGATAAGGGTTTTTTACATAGGCTGGACTTGCCATGAACATAATAATAAAATTCATGAAATCATCCTGATAAGATTCAGACATAAACAACATTGAATTCAGGTGATCCATAACAGAAAACAGAAGCAATGCCTAGTCTCCTCTGCTTTCAAGGTTGATGCAAGGCATGACTAATGCAGAAACATGGATATGCCTAAAACAACTATGTGGTGATTAAAAAGCTGAAATTGGGTATTGGGCCAAAAGTATGGGAAACTTAGTCCAAGTTTTAGCCCAAGTTTAAAAGGTTTGTTAAATAAATTAGTTACCGAGTTCTGCCAATTTGGATGGTTTGGCCTCGTTCAAACATTTTGGTAAAATTTGGACCAAATATTAGCCCAAAAATGGCTCATATGCAGACAATATATAAGAGGATTTAAGCCAAATTTCAAGCTAATTCCATCGAACAAATACTCTTTCGCACATTTGGCTGGAGTTTCAACCATAATGATGAACTTTGGACCAATTATATAAGACTAACAATAAGTGAGCGAGAAAGTGAAGCTCTATGCTGGAACAATGCAGAGAAAAGATCAGTGAGCAATCATACGCACCAGTAAGAAACCATCCAAAGCTTTTGTAAGACGAGAAGCATAGAGAAGTAATTCCATGGCATCTTCAACAAAGTGCTCTGGCATACATGCAAAGACCATTGGGCACTTGGAAGGGAGTGGCATTCTGAAGCCACCAACAAGATCAACCAACCAGACAACCATTAGCCTATAGAACGATAGGGCCTGCTGAAGAAGTTGTTCATCCTTCAAAAATAACATGCAAAATTAGAAGAGAAACATCGAAAACCATTAATTCCTACTATACTAACATATGCTTCTAAGTTATTGTTAACCATCAAAAGAGCCTCTCTAAGACCTAATTTTATGTTGTATAGATTAAGCCTCAGTTTATAAATCAACAAGAAATCCAGCTTTTTACATGTTTGCTCTGATGGTATCTGAATTCTAACATGGCAATAGTATGTCTAATAATAAGATACAGAAATGAAACCCATTTATTTCGAACAAAAGAGAATCTTCTTCAATTTATAAGTACTTCAGAACCAAGTACAGTTTATTAGTTAATTCCACATAAACTGGACAAGTATCATACTCTGAGATATAAATTCATAGAAGCATAGAGTATATCAAAATACTCATGCCATAATGACCTAAAAATGGAAATTGAGGTCTCCATAACTGAAAATGCTTTGAATAGAAAAGCAATGCAACTCTAGTACAAAACATACCCTCAATATTTGAGCTTCATAGCATAGCTTCTCCCGTAGGATTCTCTCAATTTCAACCTCAAAACGATTTAAATCCTGCTCCAACTGGGAAGAGGATGCCCGTTCCCGCATTGCTCTAAGAGAAGCAAGAGTATCTTCACATCTTGTCAAGTCCTATTTCATAAGATAGGGAAATCAAATATCAAATTATTAAAATAAAAGAGTGAATTAGTATCAAACAATAAAAGTTCTTATAGGGAATGGGGTTGGCGCATTGGTGGTTAGGGGGCTTGATGCTCCAACATAACGTCCCACCCTCCACTCCCACCATTAACATTTCAAAACATAAAATAAAATAAAAGTACTTATAGCAACATAAATTAGACCATGCTTTACAACATGAAATTCCCGATATGAACCATTGAGTTTTTTTTTTGGTAGTAACAAGGTATGATCAATTTAACCCTTTTACTGTAAAGGATGGAAATTCATAACAACAGAAACCCCTGCACCAACCCAGTGCACATAAAATCTTTCTCATTGAGAGCCAACCTTCTATTTTCAACATTATTCTCAATAAACAGCTTGACCTAGTCCTAAAACTCTCCTCCCCATGCCAAAGATCATCCTCAGTCCTCCATCCTAAACTTAATTCCTCCCAAATTCCTAATTACTCCGCCCTTTTGCTAGACAACATAGAAGAAATTCCACCACTATTGCTACCTTCCACCCCCTCCACACACCATACCTTATCTCATGCACACATATATGTAATGGAGAAATTTGATGAAGAAAACAGAAACTTAAACAAATTCCAAGCAAAGCCCAAGCACCAATTAAAGGGAACCGAGGTTACCTCCCAAAACCCTAATTAGGGAGTAAAAGCTTCTTTTGCCTTTTTTTACATGAATGCCCCAAAGAACCCCATGCACCTCTTTTATTCAATATTTAATTAACAAAAGTCAATAATGCTCCTAACCTATAAAAATCACTATAACAGTCCCAAAATAAATTGAAAACCCTCCAGATCAGGTCTTGTTCCTCTTATTCTTCTTAGTAGCTCGCCTGGGGTTTGCGTCCTCCAAATAGATGCATGCATTAGGCGAAATCTGCTTCTCCCAATATGATAGTCTTCACTTGCTCCACTTGACCACTTTTCACTTCATCAACATGTTATGCACTTATGTGAGTGCAACTGTTCAATTTCAAGTATTCTTTTATTCATGCAAACATTTGGACCAGAAAAGTGGTGCAATCAAGTCCAAGTTGTTAGATCTCGATTACCGATAACCATTTGGCAAAAAACAAATCTGGGATGAAGCACATAAGTTCATCCAGATCATCTGGGCTTGTATCGTAACAAAAGTTGAGCTAGGTAGTCGCTGGATCCATTGGGCAGAAAATGGATGTCAAATCATGTTAAAAAAAAAACAAAAAGCCTAGTTGATATACGTGCATTGCAAGTCGTAGATCCATTTAAATATGTATGGGAGAAAGCATATTTACTTCAAACTTTTGAATAAAGCATATTTACTTCAAACTTTTGAATAAAGATGACATGTTTCTTTAGAGGGAATGAGAGAGTGACATTATTAGAGTAGAATATTCAAAAGTATTAAAAAAGGTAGGGCCCAATCCATTTAGGTATTGATGTTTTCATATACAACTATTATATTAGTCTGTAATTTGTTATACATAATTGATGCAAATTGCGTTTAGAAGTTTTGGATCCAGGGATGAAAGTGTCATTTTCAAGATCTTTTGTTCACTGGACATAAACGTCATTTTCAGGATTTGTTTTGGTCATCGGTATGAATCTGTCATCATTTCTTTGTTTTGGGTCCCAGAATGTGTTTGTCATTTTCTCTTTGTTGGTTTGGTCATTTTGGGATTTGTTAAGGTCTAGGGAATTTGGTGTAGAGACAAGTAATTATTGTGTGGAAGTTTCCATGAGTCCAAAGGTCATGGAAACTTCCATGTGTGGTTTCAATGCTTAGAAGCTTCGTTTCATGTATGGGAACTTGGGTGCATGAAAGTTGCATGCAAGTATGAGAAATAGGGCACAGGGGTAATCTATTGAATTTCACACTTGGTTAGGGGTATTTTGGTCATTTTCTAATCCTAGCAAACTGATTTATAACAGTTGGTTAGCTTTGTTGATAATTTGATAATGAAAACTTCTTCCTCCTCCTTGGTGGAGAGAGACAGAGAGTAAGAGAGTTCCCATATTGAGTACCTTGAGTTGGACGGCCATCCTTGTGTACTGCAAGTACCTTGAGTGGCAAGAGTAAGGGCTGAAGATCCCTTCCTCTTCATTCCCTTGACTGAGATCAAGACAGCTAGGTCGTTGTTGCACAATCGGCCTCGGATCTATACTATCTGTTGCCGGTTTTGCGTCATTTGGTATCAGGGAATTCTCATAGATTGAAGGGACCATTTTTCCTTCCTTAACGGCAATTGACGAGTCTTGTTGCTTACATGGTCTCAACCTTCTCGGTTGGTCTCAGCTTCGCACCGTTCGGTATCAGACCGGGTTTGTGGTTATGGCTGCTTGTGGTAGAGGTCGTGGCCACGTAAACGTAGGTCATGAACTCGGCAGGTTGGTGGAGACTATGCACAATCTACTGAAGTCAGTGGCTGTGTTTTTGCAAGATAGAAATCAGCAAAATGTGAGCAGATCCCCGGTCATAGATCCCATACATGAGGGTTTGTTTGGTGAGCACCGTGAATTGGAGATGGAGATGACTTCTTCTAGCTCAGAACTAGGGACTGATTCGCGGAAGTGTTGATAAACAAAGGTCTCGCGAAGGCATGAGTTGGATGGTGACTCAAGTGTAGGCGAGCTCGACACCATGAAGACGACTCTGGTATTAAAGTTGACTTACCTGAATTTTCTGATAGTTTATCACCAAAAGAGTTTTCAGATTGGTTGAGCGCGGTAGAAAGATTCTTTGAATGGAAGGATTTGTTGGATTCAAAGAAAGTAAAATTAGTTGCAATTAAGCTTTGGGAACTTGCATCCATTTGGTGGGATAAAGTTTAGGAAGAAAAATTGAGAGAGGGAAAAAATAAGATTCGAACTAGGGCAAACATGGGGGCAAAGCTGCATGAGCAATTTCTTCCTCCAAACTTTGCACAAACCGTGTATAAACAGTTCCATCAATTGCAACAAGGATCGAAGTCAATCCGTGAGTATACAGAAGACTTCCATTGCTTGGCGTTGGATGAGATGGAGGACCAACAAGTGGCAAGGTATATCTCAGGTTTGCGGCTTCAAATCCAAGATGAACTTTCCTTGCAACACCTTCCCCCAGTAGAAATGGCATATCAGGCTGCATTGCGAGCCAAGGAGAGGCAAAAAAGGAGTACTACTTGGAGGCCAAGTGTAGGCACATCACAACCCAAGAGGGTAACGCTTCCAACCCAAGGAGTTGCTGGCCCGAGTAAAGAAAGGACGTCGAGTGATTGATCGGGTGCTATACCATACAACACTAGATTGCGAGCCCGAACAAAGGAGCAATCTGGATCGTAGGGCGGCAGAGCATCCATCGGCTGCTACACAACGGCATGTTAATCTTGCAGAGTTCGAGGAAAGTGGTGAGGTAGAAGAGGAGGCAATTGCTGATTACCGGTGTGTGATGAGGAGGATGGTCAGGATGAATAAGGAGAGGAGGTTCTTGCGGACCAAAGAGAGATGTTGCTTGTTTGAAGGGTTCTCACTCTTCCTAAAGCCCCATAAGATAATGGTTGGTTGAGCTCAAATATCTTTCACACCCGGAGCACTTGTGATGGGCAAGTGTGCTACTTAATCATCGATAGCGGCAGTTCCGAGAACATGGTGTCAAAGGAGGCTGTAGACAAGTTGCAACTAAAGGAGGTAAAGCACCCACAACCTTACAAGATTGCTTGGTTCAAAAGAGGACTTGAGGTACCCATTAATTCCAGTTGTCTTGTTAAATTTTCTATAGGAAATTTTTATAAATACGAGGTGTGGTGTGATGTTGCACCAATGTATGCATGCCATATGGTCGCCCACGGCAATATGATTGCAAGATATTCCATAATGGTGAGCGTAACACTTGTACTTTTTGGAAAATGGGGGAAAGATTGTTTTATTGCCATTGTGAGAAGAAGTTTCACCTAAATCTAGTAAGGATAAGGGTGTGGCTTTGATCTCATATTGACAGTTTGTTGAAGCTACTGAAGAAGTGAGCAAAGTTCTCATGATAGTTAAAAATGAGTTAGGACAATGTTCTATGGTGCTTGAAATCTTTAAGCCTCTAATGGATGAAGTTGTTGACCTTAGGTTGAAAGAATTACCAGCTGGATTACTGCCAATAAGGAGTATACAACATTTTATTGACCTTATTCAGGGATCTAGTTTGCCAAATTTACTGGCATATCGAATGACTCCTAAGGAGCATGAGGAGTTACAACACCAAGTTAATGAATTGATGTCTGACTGATTTGACCAAGTATAAGCCCATGTGCTGTCCGGGCACTGCTCACACCTAAGAAAGATGATTCATGGCACATTTTGTTCATAGCTGGGCCATAATCAAGATTACTGTTAAGTACCGGTTTCCAATCACGAGACTTGACAACATGTTAGAAATGTTGGCTGGCTCTTTGGTGTTCACAACAATAGATTTGAATGGGTATCACCAAATTCAAATTCGTGAAGGGGATGAGGGGACAACAACCTTTAAGACAAAGGGTGGCATGTATGAGTGGCTTGTCATGCCATTAAGATTGTCCAATCCACCTAGCACTTTCATGCACTCAAGTCTTGCGAGATTTCCTTGGCAAGTTGTAGTCGTGTTTTTTGATGGTATCTTGATCTATAGTACTGATCCAGAGGCACACTTTAGCCATTTGCACCAAGTGCTTACTAAGAAGTACAGTTTCATGACCAACAGTATGGTGTTCTTGGGTTTTGTGGTTTCCTCTGATGGTGTTAAGGTGGATCCCTAAGAAGGTTAAGGCAATAGTTGATTGGCCAATTCCTGAAACTGCAACTGAAGTTCAAAGTTTCGATGGACTTGACACATTCTATAGGTGGTTCATTTGAAATTTCAGCACCATCATGGCGCCAATCACTGAGTGTTTAAAGGGTGAAGGCTACCAGTGGATTACTGCACCTACAAAGGTTTGTAAGGAGATTAAGGCCAGGATGACACATGCACTAGTCCATGCTTTGCCTAACTTCAATAAGGCATTCGAGGTAGAGTGTGATGCCTCTCATGTGGGAATTGGCGCTGTGTTGAGTCAAGATAAGAGACCCATTCCATTTTTCAGTGAGAAACTCAATGACGTGAAGCAGCGATATTTAAATTATGACATTGAGTTCTATGTTGTCATTCAAGCTCTTTGCCATTGTAGACATTACTTGATTCACCAAGAGTTTGTTCTCTACACCGACCATGATGCATTCAAGCACATTAATAGCCAAAAGAAGTTGAGTGCAAGACATGCTAAGTGGGTGGCTTATTTGCAAGAATACACATTCACTATAAGGCACCAATTGACAGAGCAAAACAGAGTGGTTGATGCTCTTAGTCTGCGAGTTTATTTGGTGAGAACATTAGCAGTTGAAGTGATGGGTTTAGAAGCCGTGCGAGAAGCCTATCAAGATGACCCATACTTACAAGGCATTGTGGAGACGTGCCGAGCAAACAAGAGCAACTCTTATCACCAATTTCTTTTGTCCAATGACTATTTGTTCTATGGTGTTCATTTATGACTCCCTAATACCTCTTTGCGGGAGCATCTCATTGATGATTCGCATTCCGGTGGTCTTGGTAGACATTTTGGAAGGGATAGCACATTTTCTTTATTGGAGGAGAGGTATGTTTGGACTTCTATGAGGCGAGATGTGTATAGATCTGTCGACCGGTGTACGAAATATCAAGAGCTATAGCAGCATTCTCAAAATACAGGATTATACACTCCATTGACGGTTCCAAATGGATCATGGGTTGATTTATCAATGGATTTCATTGTGGGCTTGCCAAGGACAACAAGAGGCCATGATTCGATTTTGGTGATGGCTGATAGGTTCTCAAAGATGGCACATTTTATACCCTATAGGCGAACCACAGACGCAACCATGGTAGCCAATCTCTTCTTCAAAGAGATTGTGCGCTTGGATGGTCTTCCTAAGACCATCACATCCAACAGAGACACTAGGCTCCCGCGCCACTTTTGGATAACTTTGTGGGGGAAAATGGGAACTAAATTGCATGTAGTAATGTGGGTGCATATCACCAACAAACTGATGGTCAAATTGAGGTCGTTAATAGGAGTGTTGATACTATGTTAAGAAGCTTGGTTAGAGAGAATTTGAAAGTATGGGACTTGGTGTTACCACAGGCAGAGTTCGGATACAATAATTCTCCAAATCAGTCAAATGGGACAACTCCATTTAATGTGGTCTATGGCATATCACCTTTGCATTTTCATGATCTAACATTGCCTATGTGTGAGAATGTTGATGCAGATGCTTCAAACATGGCTGACTATATGAAGCAGTTACATGAAAAGGTTCAAAAGAAGTTAGAGGAAAGTTACATCAAGTAATTTTTTTTTTTGAGAAAAAAAAGTTGCATTAAGTATTACCGTGAATTGACACCATTGGCTAAAGTTGTTCAAAGTTAGAGACCATATTATGGTGTATCTCAGGCCAAAGCGATTTTCCGTCGGTACCTATGGCAAGCTCAAAGCAAAGAGGATTGGCCCTTGTAAAATCAAAAGGAAATTCAATGACAATGTCTATGATGTAGAGCTACCAAGAAGGTGGAATATCTCCCCGATCTTCAACATACAAGACCTATTTGAATGTCATAGTGACGGCGACCCGACAGGGTCGAGTCTTTTTCAACTCAAGGAGGATGATGCAAATTGCATTTATAAGTTTTGGATCCTGGGATGAAATTGTCATTTTCAGAATCTTTTGGTCACTGGGATGTAATCGTCATTTTCAGGATTTGTTTTGGTCACCGGTATTAATTTGTCGTTATTTCTTTGTTTTGGGTCCCAGGATGTGTTTGGTCATTTCGGGATTTGTTAAGATCTAGGGAATTAGGCGTAGAGACAAGTGATTTAATGTGTGAAAGTTTCCATGAGTCCAAAGGTCAAAATGTGTTGTTTCAATACTTAGAAGTTTGGCTTCATGTATGGAACTTGGGGGTATGAAAGTTGCATGCAAGTATAGGAAATGGGGCTCAGGGGTAATCTAGTCAATTTCACACTTGGTTAGGGGTTTTGGTTATTTTCTAGTTCCAACAAACTGGTTTATATGTATAGAATATTGCTATAACAGTTGGTTAGCTTTGATAATTTGATAATGAAATCTTCTTCCCCCTCCTTAGTGGAGAGAGAGAGAGAGAGAGAGAGAGAGAGAGAGAGCGATAGAATATGAGTCCATGAGCGAGAGGGGGGCCTCAAATTGAACACTTGGAGGCCATCTTCTTCTCTTTCTTCTTCTTGTATGTAGAGCCAGGGCATATGGCTCCACATGTGTGTCTGTGTACACATGTGACTGTGTAAGAGAGAGAGGCCTCGCATTGAACATCTTCGTTTCCCTTCTTATATGTAGAGAGAGAGCCTGCGAACGAGAGAGAAGGGCTTGAGCCCTTAGCCATCTTATAGGCCTTAACTATTTTTGAAGGTCGCATGCCTTACATCCTCTCTAGAGATAGGGTCCCCTTTTATTCTTGTGACACATATCCACTTTTAACTATGCTTGCTAATGTAGTATAGATAATAAACTATTAGATTAAAACTTTGTGAACAATGTAAGTAAAACATGTGAATATATTAAAATGAATTGTTTCTTAATGTAGTCATGTACAAAATGAAACATTTGTATTTTTTTTTTTAATAAAAAAGGTTTCAGGTCAAGAACAGCTAAGAAGTCATGAATTCCTATAACGAATAAGATTGGGTTCATAATTATCAAAAAAAAAAAAGATTGGGTTCATCCATTTAAAAAGACAACACATCATACTTGAGTTCTTAACCAGGATTTGGTTTTCGTAGAGAATCACAGACAAAACATTACCTGAGCTATATTCTTGTAATCAGAGAAAGCTTTCAACAAACCCAAGTTGAGCACCCTTGCTGTCAGGAAGAAACACTCGCAGATAAATTTATAATTTTTTGATGTCCCACGAGAATTCAGCAATGGCTTTGTATTAGAGAGAACATTATTCCCAGAGCTTGTGGCTTCTTGAGATTCCAAGAACCGGTTCTCTGTAGACCCTTCCGTGGGCTCAGAATATTTATTGGCAACCCAAGAAGCAACTTCTTCAGATGATGCATGAAGAGCTGTCAAACCACTGATACAAAAACCAAGATGGTTATTGGTTATGATTACCAAGGAAACTAGAGCCCAACCACACTAAATAGGATGCTGAGACTCGCTGAAATCAAGTTCAAATAGAACAATAAAAATATGGGGGAATATCAAATAAGTGCCTGGAAGACCTGCATAAATAACGCAGGTCCAACAATGACCAAAAATGTCATCTTCTTAAATGGACTACTTCGTCAATCAAGTGTTTGTTTGAAATACTAATGTTAATCTAGATAATACTAATGCAGTTCTACCATACTTTCCAAACAAATAAGTATAAAGAATGCAGCACTGCAATAAATAAATCTCACCTTAAGTCAATCCTTTTGTTATCAAAAACATATTGTGGATCAATTTTGTCCCTCTTTGTCAAATTTGCATCTAGAAAGGGCTCGCACAGCCGAAGCATGACAGCACTGAGATTGACAAACATACCCGAACTCGCACAGGAAAATTGGTTTACCTATGACCAAACAAATATAAATTTAAATCCGAGTTGAACCCAATCAAAGAAACTGCCGTTTCTATTCAAATACAAAGGGATTATGTCATGGTAGACCACCTGAATATGAGATCTCCCCGAGTTTTTCTTGATCAACTCTGAAAGATAGCTCAGAGCACGCTCTCGAGTATCTTTCAGCCTCAATAGTGTGAGAAAAACATTGTTAAGGCCATCATAGAGATAGTTCGTCAAAGTTTTAATAGTAGTGAAAGACGACATTAGATCTGCTGGTCGACGTGTTGATGCATTTGAGAAACACTGTAACCTGGCATTTTCAAGAAAGAGAACATATCAATTATTAATTAGAACCGAAAGCATAATATCATTTTAAATCATTCGAAGCCTATCCAAATATTCGAAAATGGGAATTCCATACGAGTGTCAAATATACTTATAGTAATAATACTTCAAAGAATGTGATATAGTACAGCCATGAATCCGGCTTCAAACCCACAGCTCAACTGGAAGGCACTAGTTGCCACCTTAAGGTTGAGGGTTCTTTATCACCTTAACATTTACTCATGTTTATTTGCAATATCTTGATGACTTTGATTATCTGCATTCTCAAGCTTCTGTCCCATTAATGCACTTTATATTCCTGATAATGCTTTTACTCAGATGGTTCCAAATCAGTCAGATAATAATGTGCACAAGTTCAAGAGCAGGGCTGAGACCTCCAGGATTTTGTTTGTCGTAAGATATTTCCTTCTTATATCAAACTTCGCAAGTGGTCATGGGGACAATCTGGTCCCTTAAATCTGCCTCGTCCAATAAACTCTAGAGTTTGATACAATAACCCAGTACAGTTCCATCACCTTCGAAGTGACAGGTAATGCCTTGGCTAATTTACAAATATCAGACTTCCTGATTGACTTATAGTTCCGGACAACTAAAATCTTGGCAACTTGTCAACTTTCAAGCCATGAGTCCAAGCATTTCAAGAGACATTGGGGCATAGCAACTTGGTTCTCATATCCAGGGATGCACAGGATATGATATGGAAACTCGTCTTTTTTCTTTTCAGCTAAGCTAGCCAGGGTTTTGGAGGGGCCTGCCATTTTGTATTACTATTATCAGTAAATGACAATGGGTTGGTTTAAGCTAAGCCCTCACGGGGCTTCATCTGGGAACCCAGGTAAGAGCTGCTAATGGAGTAGTCATTCACGATCACAATGGGAGATTCATGGCCACGTTTTCAAAACCCATTGGATTACATAGAAATAATGCAGCAGAGTTCAAGGCCTTGCAAAGGGGATTAATAAATAACTCAATTGCACAAATATTGTAATTGAAAGTGATTCTAGTTTGGTGGCGGGGTCTGTGAGAGACTCGATGACAGTTCCATGGCGCTTTTGCACCTTAGCCCATAATTGCATTTCGTGGATTCGTGATGATCAGTGGAATATCCAACACATTAAGCATAAAACTAACCACGCTTTGGACCTTTTGGCCAAAACTGAATTGATGACAACAGCTATTATTTTTCTATTCTTAATGGAAAAGGGTTAGGGCGTCTTCCCCACTGATTCAACCAAAAAAACAGAAAGAAAAAAGGAAGAGACCAAGTTCTCACATCGTACAAAAAGATATGTGCAGCTCTCTCTCTCTCTCTCTCTCTCTCTCTCTCTCTCTCTCTCTCTCTCTCTCGATCTCTCTCTCTCTCTCGATCTCTCTCGATAGTTGTGGGGTATCTTCAGTTATGTCATTTTATAGAGCTCTCACTTATGTAGCAGATTTCCTAAACCTTTCCCAATTTCACACTTCAAAAAACAAAACAAAAGACATGGAATATCCTGGTTCCATTGAAGGTAGAAGCTTTTGATGGTTACTGTGTTCGATTAAAATTCTCATCATAGATCATATCTAGAATTGCAGCTTACAAAACCCGCATTTTGTACTGACAGGAAGCAAATCTTGTTACCATCTCTTCGAATATGGGTGGCAATCCATCTCCTGGAACGGGATCCCATGCTCCTGGAGCAGGATCATGGCCTAGATGTGATCAGATGCTGGCGAAGCATATTCCCAAGCTAATAGGAGTAGCTCAACAGGTTAAGAAACCCATATTCTTTATATTACTTATGGAAAAGAAGAAATATATGCATGTCAATTAAAAAAGAAAGCAATACATGAAAAACCAAAAGAAAAAAAAAGAAAGAAAGAAAAAAAGAAGGTGATAGCACATATCAATTAAAGAAAAAAATAATTATTCGAATATATGTTTCCTGATTTGTTAAAAGAGTTTTTTTTTTAATGTTAACTTAGGCTTGGTTTGGTGTGAATGGAATTCTAGACGTCATGTTGTGGCAACTGCCACACTACCACCTCTGTCTAGAGCCCATGTCAAAATAAAAGTGATTCTTAAATCTGCATCAATAACAAAAGGAAAATTTTAATTCCAGTACTTCAAAATCACATTGAATGTAGGGAATGGTGGTCAACATTTGTCACATTTTATAAATGTGTACAAGAGAGATAATGATTTCTTTCTCTTCTTCTCTAGTTTAATATATTTATAATAAGGGTGTCCTCATGGCGCTCCCAAAAGACAGAAGTCCCTAGAAAGCAACAATCCTCCACTCTCGCTTCCACCTCCAATAACTATGATGTAAAATGGGTGACACTAGAGGACGTCATACGTCTCATTCCCGTAGTTGGATCTAGATTTTTCTCCCATCCAAACGACAAATCCTGCAGAGGGAGAGCTCCCTTACATTTTCCTGGGGAATGATTGCATTTTAAAGGGGGAAGCCTAATCAGTCGCACTAGGAGGCAAATGAATCTTTTAGCTCTTGAGTTAAATTTTATGGTTTCCCAATGAATCATCTAGAATTTGCAGTAGTATGTAGTATTTACTGACTGTCTAAGGAGGACTATGTGGGACGCATCGAGGCCCCCATCAGTGTGAAAATTTACAGAGGCAGACACAGAGACAGAGGAGCGAGTGCTTCTTACATGGCCCAACCTCCTATCACTCACTGATCAAAAAGTTGGAAATTCTAAAACTCTCTTCAAACCATTTTATTGCATTTATTCCTTAAATGTAATCAAGTGAAAGATTCGTCAATATTCTGCCAGTTTCAACTGACTGTCTAAGGAGGACTATGTGGGACTCATCGAGGTCCCCATCAGTGTGAAACTTTACAGAGGCAGACATAGAGACAGAGGAGAGAGTGCTTCTTATATGACCCAACCTCCTATCACTCACTGATCAAAAAGTTGGAAATTCTTATAACTCCTCTTCAAACCATTTTATTGCATTTATTCCTTCAATGTGATCCAGTGAAAAAGTCATCGATATTTTGCCAGTTTCATCGCAATTAGCAAGTTTCTGAATCTTGTGCAAGCCCGAAAATATTTACTTCTCTCATGTCTTTTATGAGGCAAATAAAGCATCTTATTCTTTAGTCAAAGAAGGGGGTGGATTGCCATTGGTCAGCATTTTAGGGTCTCACTGGGTAAAACAATGATGCTTCCTCAACATTCCATTGGTCGGGATCTATTATCAATTTGTAATCTTTACATGTTATGGCATTGGACCTTTTTATTTTTTAATGTTACCTTGAATTTACACTAGAGATTTCAATACCAATAAAAAAGAAAAAAAACAATGCTTCAAACAAGGTGATGTTCAGGGGAAGCAATGAATACAGTAACTCAACAAAGTATCGTGATATATGAAGAAGTGAGTCTTGAACACCAGAAACATAGAGCAGTCATTAAATCACAAGAGAAGATTCCTAGCATAAATATTCTTTTCTATCAAATGCAAACATCAGTACCAAGAAAATCCTAGATACTCATGGACACAAAAGTGGCACATTGAACATACAAGTAATCACAAAACTACAAAAAAAAATTGTGTCTATCCATACCAATCATAGAAATGGCATGGAAGGTGCAGTAAGTAAATGAGAATTGAGAAATAGAACGCAAAAATAAAAAAATAAGAGGCTACTATTGACAATAATTCAGACACAAATCAAAATATAAAAGTCGAACCCCATGAAAAATACTGCATTGGAAAGGAAGACATTAATAAAGATGAGTTAGAAACTTGCCCAACATCTGGTTCGCTCATGAAAACATCATGATCAGGAAGCGCGCTAACATGAAAGAAGGGTCCAAGGATGCTCGCCACTTCCATGACCCGACCATCTACATAGTCCCCTCTAGGAATCCATGCAGGGTGGTTAACCAAAGCCTTTGCACTATTCGGGTAAGAAACCAGCTTCAAAAGCGCACCTAATGGTTGTTGAAAACTACCAAGAACTGAAACCTTATTCGCTGAGCCTCTCAAATCCTCATACAAAGGCCTCAATACCGGCTCCAGTGTCTCTTCATCCACGTCTCTGAAGAAATCATCAACAAAACCAGGTGGCCCAATTGGCGTACCATCACCAATTAAATCAACACTACTAGAAAACATAGTTAAAATTACCATAAGAAGAGGTGATCTGTCAGGTGTTTGAGGGTGAGGGAACATATCTGGATTACCCAAGTGAATTCTAGAGTAAGAAACAGCTAAATCCTTTGCTTGTTTGATCACAGATTCAAGCTCAGACCTCAATTCCTTGTCTCTCATGGAGGCTACTCTCTTGCCCTCGTCATAAGCCCTTTGATAGCAACCCATTAGGTACTCAAATGGAGGTTGGGTGTCTGGAAGGACTCTAGATAGACGATCGATGAGAACTCTCTCCATTACATCTCTAGAGAGAGAAAGTGGTTTCCCTTCGCTGAGTATCTCCGCAGCTGTCATCTCTAAATACACATAGTCCGAGCCCAACTCGTCGCTCAAGGTAACGCGAAAGATGCGTTGGAGTAAGCCATCCTCTATATCTGCAAGGCTTTTTCGGGGTTTCTGGTTTGCCATTAGAGAGCTTAGAAGAAGGTGTACTGGTTGTAAAAAGGTTTAAAGGTTATTGAGAATCGAGCAATCCTGGGTGGTTGGTTGAGCAAAAACCGGGATATCCAATTGGAAAGAGATATCAATGGATGTCAGAGAGAGAAAGTAAGGGTTTTGTGGGTTTCCTGGTTCTCCATTAGAATATCAGATAGCTGGAACACTGTGGAGTGCTTGGAGGGATTTATTGGAAATAGATATTAGGCATTTAGCAATCCTTCTGGTTTGGTTAAGCAAACTACGCGATGATCAATATAGACATTTTAATGGATTTTAGAGCGAGAAAGTGGAAGTTAGAGAAAGTAGGGGTTTGCAGGCAATGGGTATTGAAAATTAAGCAGTGGGTGATTCAGGAAAAAAAAAGGGACCCCAAATGGAAAAAATGGAACTTTATGGAAATACAGAGAGAGAGAGAGAGAGAGAGAGAGAGAGTAAGAGCTAGAGAGAGAAATTAGGAGAGAGAGAGTAGGGTTTGCCGGAAATGGGTATGCACTGAGAATTCAGCAATCCTGGTGTGGTGATTCAAGCAAAAAAGAGATACCCAAATACAGATATGGACCTTTGATGAAAAACAGAGGAGAGAGAAAGTAAGAACTAGAAAGAGAAAATAGAGGGACTCGATTAAACAATCGTGTGATTCACGAGAAAAGGAACAACCCAGATTGCAATACCTGGTGTTCTTCCAGAAGTTGCAGAGAAACGGAAGCGAGATTCGCAGGAAATAGCAGAATTCGAATCGATAACAACAAATAACTAACAAATTTTAGAGAGAGAATTTATACGACTCACCGAGTGCTGAGGAATTAGTATTCAGAAGAAAGAGGAGCTCCGGTAGAGATTCATTTTAGTTGAGAAACAAGAACGGCTCAGAAAAAGAGCTGAAAGTCATTTTATCAAAGAAGAAGAGGATATACATTGGGGAAAATATCTCGGGAACCCTCTATTTTTAATGGCGGGATAAGATTGTCCCAACCACAATGCAAGTATGGTTTTTTTTTTATTTTTTTTAATAAACTGTTTTGATACCAAATTTTTTGGACGTCTATTCATATATATTAAACTCGCACTAACAAAAAAAAAAGTAAAAAAATAATAATTTTAATAAAATAAAATAATCAAAATACTTATAAAAATTTTAAAAACATTTTGGCCATTATTTTTTATCGAAAAATTATTGTTAATATTTTTTATAGGTGTACCCCAATGACAAGATGGCACGTACCAAATTTCATATTAAAAAAAATTGTATTAAAAAAACTAAAAATAAAATATTTTTAGACGTCGGATCTAAGAACAAACGGTGAGTGGCTCTCTTGATAAAAATGGACGGCTGGATGGTAGGGGAAACATAGAACTTCTATGTTGTAGGGGGAACATAAAAAGCTTTACAAAAAGTTGCAGTTTCCATACGGACGCCTCGTAGGTGTAGAGGTAGGGTGCCCTTCAAATTTTATCATGGTATATAATTTTGATGTAAAATGTTATTAGGATTATCTTAAAATCTATTTTTATATCTAATTATAAAATTTTAAATTTCAAAAATGGTTAAAATCAAATAGATCTATAAGCATATAAAAATCTTGAAAATGGACAGTGTAGATAATATGTTGTAAAATGCACTATTTATGAGATTTAAAATATTTTTATTTTTCATAGTCATATATCTCGATGTCGAGATGTTCATTTTGGTGAGATGCTTAGATCTATGCCTTACAAAGATTTTTTCATTTCAAATTTTTTTGGATGGCTTTATTATCATTAGATGAACAATGTTAAAAAAGAGAAAATTGATTTTAAGTTTATAAAAGCTAAGACTTTGAAATTCACAAAATGAATAGTCTAACTTCGTTTTTGGAGGGGACTAATTTTAACCATATTTAAATTCAAATTGAACTTTTTTTTAGGGGATTGATTATTGAGATGAAAAGAGTGTGTGTGCAAAATTTGAGGTCGTACAAATACCACAACACATGGTTTTTTAGAAGTGTCGTTGCATTATACTATGATACAACCTTTGCATTGGATCATTGCTTTAAACTTTTTCCTTTAGAAAAACACAAAGTTTTATAAGATAGATATCTTCTAACCCTCTAGTCACTTTAAACCTATTTTTTTAACTTAAATAAATATGAGAAAGACATATTCTTTCTAGGGCAAGCTTTCTATGCTTCCCCTGCAACATAGAAGTTCTATCATCCCCTTATCCAACCGTCCATTTTGAATGGAGGTCTAAGATTGCCCCAATCACATTCACGTCTCTACACTATTTTATTTTTAATTTTTTTTATAAACTATTTTGACACAAAATTTTGGACGTCCATTCCTCTATTAAACTCGCCCTAGCGAAAAATATAAATTTTTTTTTCAATAAAATAAAATAACGAAAATACCCCTAAAAGTTTAAAGGGGTATTTTGGTTATTATATTTTATCAAAAAATTACTTTTAATATTTTTTATAGGTGTGTTCCAATGAGAAGATGGCATGTACCAAATTTTATATTTATACAATTTGTATAAAAAAAATAAAAGTAAAATACTTTAAAACGTCGGATCTAAGATCAAATGGTAAGTATCTCTTTTGATCAAAATTGGACGGCTAAATGGTAAGGGGAGGATAGAATTTCTATGCTGTAGGGGAAGCATAGAAGCATTTCATTTCTTTCTAAACCCAATCTTTTATCTCTCTTCACTTATATACTACAAATTTCTCTCTTTTTTTCTTTTCTTGTGCTTCTCATATTCTCTCCTCTTGTGTTTCTCCAAATACCTCTTTCTCCTGTTGGTAACCTCTCACCTCCATAAAGCCCCCTTTTATTTTAGAAGTTTGGGAGGATGGCTTTTAGAAAAGGTATGTCTTTTTAGATTTATTTGGCCTAAAAAATAAGTTTAAATTAGCTCAGGGGGTTAGAAAAAATAGAACCCCAATATATCTTTTAAAACCTTAGGTCTATTGTGAAATGAAACATAAAAATAAAGGGTATCGAGATATTTTCCCTATATATTACTAACAATCAAGGTTTAAAAAATCGGTAACCCGATTCGAAATCGGAAGATCTGGATAAAAAATCGGCCAGGACGATTCGAATTCACGCAGTTCCAAATAGTAGAATCGCCAATTTTTTGCGAAACCACTGATTTCGACGATTCTTCACCATGTCCGACAGATTCTTCACCGATTTCGACCAATTCTTCACCGAGTCAAGCAAAAAGAAAAAGGATGAACATTGTTTTCTTGAATTATTTTTTAAAAAACTTTGAAGAAAAAAATTCTTCCAATCCGAAACGGGTATGGGTGTGACCGATTTGAGTTACCCATTCATTTTTTTTAAACCTTGCTTGCAACGGCCAGTGAATAAAGAAGGTTCTTTCAACCATTAACATCAATCCATAAATTGCCATCCGGATCACGAAAGGCCGGAATCAGTGGAACCAAACTGATTTCGCTCCTTAAAATCCTCTTTCTTTATTGTTTATACTTTTGTTGATGTTTAATTGATTTTCTTTTTATTGCATTCCAATGTTTAGAAGCAATTTGTAAGTCTTTATTTAAAACACAATTTTAAAAATAAATAAATAAATAAATTTTTGGAATTAGATTTTTTTTTAAAAGATCTTAAAAATTTGCGTTTTTTAATGGAGCCATATCTTATCTTTTTTTCAAAAAACTTTTTCACTAATTTATTATCTTTAAATTTTGGATTAGTTGGATTAGAGATAAGTAGATTAAAAGTTGAAGTAAATTAAGAATCTTGATTTAAAAAACAAATTCATAATTTTTTTTACCAATATGTTACCTTAAAAAAAGTACAATATATTTCCCAAAATTCATCAAAACAACCATATATCTCAAAATAAGGCAAGCTTTCTATGCTTCCCCTACATCATAAAACTTATATACTTCCTGTTATCCAACCGTCCATTCTGAATGGAGGGCTAAGATTGCTCCAATGACAATATCACGTATTTACACTATTTTATTTTTAATTTTTTTCTATAAACTATTTTGACTCCAAATTTTGGATGTCGAATCCTCTATTAAACTCGCATTAGCGAAAAATAGTAAAAAAATATTTCCAATAAAATAAAATGATGAAAATACCCCTGAAAGTTTCAAGGGGTATTTTGGTTATTATATTTTATCGAAAAATTATTTTTAATATTTTTTATAGGTGCGCCCCAATGTGAATACACACATACCAAATTTCATATTCATACAATTTGTATAAAAAGGACTAAAAATAAAATACTTTGAGACGTCAGATCTAAGATCAAACGATGAGTGGATCTTTTGATTAAAATTGGACGGCTGGATGGTAGGGGAAGCATACATCTTCTATGATGTAGGGGAAGTATAGAAACCTTTGCCCTCAAAATAACTATTAGAGTTAGACGAAGAATAACCTAATGAAAAGTTCCTTTTCGTCTAAACATGGAACATCATTATAAGAGCAAGAGAAAGATTCAATGACAATTAAATATTTAAGTAGCTAGGAATTCAATATGAACTTCGAATATTTGGATTTCCGCATTTTGTTTAGTTCTCTCTGCATATAGAAGTTTGAATAATTTTGCTTTTAAAATTTTTCTTACTCCATTAATATAAACAACCTAACAATTTGGATGGATCACTATTTTACATTTTTAGGTTTTTGCGTTTTAGTTAACTGGAATCATATACTAAAAGTCATATTTGTTTTTTTCTTCTAATGATAAAATTGTACTTTGGATTCCATTCTTGTTATTAGCTAATGTACTTCTTGTGTTTGGTGTTGTTGTTGTAGTATGTATGTTCTAAATAAATCTATCATATATTTTGTGTCGTGACAACAGAAAACATAGTAAGCATTCGTTTTATAGTTATTAAAAGTTTACGTAAAATTTTTTCAAGTATGACTCAAATAATACTAGGTAATGACAATGGTTTTAATGTATCCATATAATAAATGCAACTCATAATTTTATATTGTGTTGTCTTTACATATTTGGTTTTTTCATTTCATTTTTTTAACCAAATCCGTGATATTCAAGATTTTCTAATTTATGGCAATCCGTATGTTTGACCTAATTTTTTTGCGGCTTGACTTTTTGGAGCAAAACCAATTTATTCCAATGTTTTGATTTGTCGATATATTGTTATTCCCTGACTTGCTAACTATGTTTAAAAGTACCTTATAATTTTGTATCATTTTATTTTAATTTTTTAAAATTTCAAAATACTTTTTCTGTTTTAGAAATTCTCCTAGACCAATGATCTAGTGATTTGACATGGTATTGGACGTTCCACCCCACCGATGCACTTTTCTAAGGAAAATTATTTCATGCGGGTTGGACTGCATTTCTACAATATGCAGTCTAGAGGTATAAAGCATCCATCTTAAAGATGGATGCAAATAGGTGGTCCATCTAAAAACAAGTGTAACTAACAGTCCAAATGTTCTTTTAATATAATTATTATTTTTATTTTGATTTTTTTTTCAAATATTATATATTATCTAAAAATTAGGATCAAATTACACTTAAAATATATATTTATTGCCAAGCCCGCATTTCTACAATATGCGGGCTGGCCGCATAGAAACCGTGTCCTTTTTTTAAACACTTAATTTTCAAAAACTTTCACATGGCTTAGGGCCCTCTCAATGTTTATTTTCATTTTTAAGGAGGGATAAATACTTATTTGACTACTTTCAAACATATATTGAAATGACTTGTTTTATGGTATTGAAAATAACAAACAAAAATAAATTGGTGGCCCCGCAAGAATGAGTTGCTCTAGTGTTTTAAAACCCACTGATCCTGATCGAGAAGGGTTGGGACCGAACTAGCTCTAGGAAGGTATTGGTACTAGCCCAACCCTCCCTAACCCCCCTTTTCATATATATATATATAAAAGAGTAATGATCCTATGAGATCCTCCTACACCCATG